TTTTGAATGTCCAGAGGACCAGATTTAACTTTTTTAGATTTTTCTACCTGGATTATTGAGCATGCATCAGGATATTACTTTTGCTTAGTTTTACTTACTTACTTACTATTACTTACTTGCTTATCCATCCATCCATCCATTTTCTTTTCCCGCTTATTCCATTTTGGGTCACGGGGGTCGCTGGTGCCCATGTCCAGCAATCACTGTGTGAGGGGCGGGGTACACCCTGGACGGGTCGCAAGTCCATCACAGGGCCACATAGAGACAAACAAGACAAACAAACATTCACTCTCTCACTCACACCTAGGGAAAATTTAGAGTTACCAATCAGCCTAACATGCATGTTTTTTGGACTGTGGGAGGAAATCGGAGTACCCGGAGAAAACCCACGCATGCACGGAGAGAACATGCAAACTCCACCCAGAAGGCCCCTGGACCGGGGTTTGAACCAGGGACCTGCTCGTTGAGAGGCAGCAGCTCTACCAGTTGCGCCACCGTGTTTATTTACTTACTTATTTACTTTTACTTACTTACATGGTATAATGGTATGGTATAAAGTTTATTCATTTTAAAAAAGTACAAAACAATTCCATAACAATATAAAAAAGATACAAAAGATTTAAAATGAAAGGTAGCAGAAAGAAGAAAAAATCTTATTATACCTGCCCCTTTTTTCAAACAATTATTTCAATCATAATAATTTTCAAGTAACAGAACAAAATGAATAACTTTCTAATTTTTCTAATTCTAATACAAAACACACACTAAGCTACTTCATATATACTTTACTTTACTTTACTCATATACTACTTACTTACTTACTTACTTACTTTTACTTATTTACTTATTTACTTACAGTACTTACTAACTTACTTATTTACTTACTAACTAACTAACTTATTTGCCCGTTATTTTACCAGGTGAAATGTTTGAGGGCCAGTTCTCATTACACTGTCTGCAGGGTTTAACGTCTTTGAACTATGAATACATTTCTAGCTTGAACAACCTTTGAGGGTCCAGTTGTCCACAGCAGTCATGGATCACATCCACCCTTTGACCTCCACCCTACTGGTGGAAGTCATAATTCATCATCTCAGCCTTCCTGTTCTGCAGCTTTCAATTACTTTAAAATTAGGTCAACACCAGTTTCTTATGCAATGCTTCATACATGCCAAGAGGGGAGCTTTTTTGATGGCTTGTAGAGATGACAAAAAAAATTATAAATCCTGTGACATCCATTGTTTTCAGTCTGGCATTGAAGATGGTGACCTGTACGATGGAGCTTGGTGTGCCGAGTATAAGGACCAGCACCAGTGGCTTGAAGTGGACGCCATCCATCCCACTTTGTTTACAGGAGTCATCTTGCAGGGCCGAAACTCCATCTGGAGGTCAGGTAGTGTCATCACTCTAGTCTAAATGCAAGAAAACACTGTCAAAAATACATAAATATATCTGTAAATCCTACTAACTTGGTGTCTGATAGCACGTTTGAGCTTTAAAAACAACAAACAACTTAAAAATGTTCAATGTTGTGGATACTTGCTTTTCACTTACACTTCGGAACAAAGAGCTAGTGCCATCTATTCATGGTCCTTTTGGTCTCTGTTACAGTTGGGACTGGGTCGAAACCTACAAAGTTCATCTGAGTAATGACTCTGTAAACTGGCAGATGTGCATGAACGGGACAGAAGAGGCGGTAAGGACTTTCTGTAGATTAAGAAAATGATCTGTACCTGTTGAAACCAATGCAGCTGTAAAAACAGAGTGGAAACATCAAAGTTCATGTTCAGTAATCCAGGTAAAAAAAATCCAACAAAGTTCTTCAGTCAGGTCGTATGGACAGTTTCTTTCTTTTTTGTTGAGACGTTTCATCTTTCATCCAAAGGACTTCATTAGTCTGAGGAGCCACAACAAACTCAGTCCCACAAGCAGCACACTCACATAGTGGACCAATCAGTTTGCTGGTGATAAGATGGTTTCTGGGGCCCGCCCTATTCCCCGTCGACTCCTCTGAGGCATCCATAGCTAAAGTGGTTCAAAACATCAAAGTTCTGGGACTCAAAACTGTGGAACTCAGTTTGTTATGGCTCCTCAGACTGATGAAGTTTTGTTGGATTTTTACCTGGATTATTAGCATGAACTTTGTCAGAGTGGAAACAGTTTGTGGAATTTGACAAAACTTAAAATGCAAATGAATCAATGAGTTATTGCCTGCTGCCAAAGGTGAAAGAGCAATAATGTTTTTTTTTCTTGTGCCTGTCTTTTTCTGCCTTGTTAGTAAAATATCTGTTAAACCAATGAATGAACCATAACGTAATTGTCATTTGTACATTTATAACTGATTAACATTTTAAGTCACCCTAATTTAGGATCACTGCCACAACTAAACAAATTCAGCAAACACACAAGTGGCTAAAGCTCAGTCACTTTTAAAGAGATTGAGATAAACTGTGGTGCATTAGCAGCTGAGAGTCATCCACAACACACACTCTGAAAGCTAACTGATCTCACATGAGACGGCACGTAGATTCACTTACAATGTTTGATCAGAGCAGCTGAAACTCCACAAGTTAACAACATCTTATTTGAAAATGTTGATATGAACATGATATTTTGAAAAAGGATTAGAGCCACAGTGAGAATAGATTTTTAATTCTGAGATTAGAGTCAGTATTCCAACTAAAGGAAATGCTAGGTCTCTAAGTAGTTTTAGTTTTAAACCACGTATGCTTCAAAAAAATCTAATCTTTCCAATAAAACAGATCAAAAAGATCACAGTTTTCATTTCATTTCAAAACTTCTATTGTTGCCAAGGACGGTATGTTTTCATCATCTGTTTTTGCTATTAGGAAACAAGAGATTTGTTTCCTGATTCAGATTCTTGGTAATTTGGAAAGTTTTCACAGTTTTTGGGAGTATTGCACTTGTTAATCCACACATGTTCAGCAGGCTGCATGGTTTGGATGGCAGTGGGTTTATTGTCTGTCTTCAGCTCTATCCTTTAACTGGAAGATTCAAGCTTTTATATCCCAGTGTCATGGCAGTGTAGGCCCTCCCCTTTTGATTGACACCTCTATTGACCAACTGTGTGAACAGTCTTCTGGGTCAATAATATCCACTGAGTTTTAGCTACATACCAGTTATAGTTACAATATTTTGACTGCTGCTGTTAGGACTTCAGTGTTACCTTAGAGGGATGAAGCTTGTAGCTCAAATGGTTCAAAAACAGCATCTAAATAATTTTGGGTATGATTTTTCCATGCTTTTTAGAGGAGCCTGTAAAGCAGCAAAAACAGCAGTTAATCACACACACTGAGCTGAACTTTGACCTGGTCTAACAGCAACAGTGCGGTACAATGTTCAAATCTGTTTTAATCAAATGAAATTGTACAGATTTTTCAAGGCAACCAGAATCCAGAGACTCCCGTTCTTGGGCTTCTTCCAGTTCCCACCGTGGCCCGATTCATTCGCATCAACCCCCAGACCTGGTACTCCAACGGGACCATCTGCCTCAGGGCTGAGATTCTTGGCTGCCGTGCTGACGGTGAGCAGACGTTTAGCCGTGCACAGCCACAGTTAGTCATCATTTATACGCTTTACTTTCAAAGCAACACTTCTAATTATTGTTTCTGTCAGCCAGCAAAAAAAAAAAAGCAATAAAATTTTTAAAAAGCCACACTGCGGGAATCTCATGATGTTTTTATGTTTTTCTATGTTCAGCAGACATTTATTCCACAGAGCAAGAAAAAGGATCAAAAGATGATCTGGACTTCAAACACCACAACTACAAAGAGATGAGAAAGGTTAGTGGAAGCTCACATAAATCTCATAAAGCTGACGCCAGAGGTTTACTCACACTATTTACACATTTTCTCAGACTTAACCTCTTCAATCAGGGCTCCAGGGCCGCATGCAGCTCTGGTTTCTCTGCAGCAGCTCTTTGTAGCCTAGACAAAATAAAAACAACTGAAAAATGATTATTATGATTTATAACCACAATGGAAAAGGTTGGTTTTACAGTTTTAAGGAAAACGGGTGGCTGGATAAATGACAGCGATAATTCAGTTCAATTCAGTTTATTTATAAGATGCCAATCACAACAGAAGTTGTCTTAGGTCACTGAACAGAAACATTCTCATATAAAAGTCACTTAGTAAAAGTTTTCTATCTAAGGAAGGAAGCCAGCAGATTAAGTTGAATCTTCAATTCATCAGTCTCCCATCCTGAGCAAGCACAGTGGCAACAGTGGAAAGAAAACACTCCCTTAAAACAGGAAGAAACCTCCAGCAGAACCAGGCTCACGACAAGCGGCCATCTGCTTTGACCGGCTGGTTTGAGAGGACAGGAAGGAGAGACAGACGAACACAGAATGACAGGTCCAGGTCCAGGTCCAGATCCAGGTGCAGGTGCAGGTGCAGGTGCAGATGCAGGTGCAGGTGTACCACCTAACGAAAGAAAGACCAAAAGAAAAAAAAGTCAAGGATAGAAAAAATAACAAATACAAAACAGATAGAATAGAGTAAGTGAAGACAGCAGTAGTGAAGTAATGTGGTCAGTTTGTCCTCCAGCAGTCTTAGCAACATAAATAAGAGACAGCTCAGGAAACCCAAAACGACCCTAACTATAGGATTTATCAAAAAGGAAAGTCTTAAGCCCATTCTTAAACTGGACAATGTGTCAGCCTCACGGACAGAAACTGGAAGTTGGTTCCACAAGAGAGGAGCCTGATAACTGAAAGATCTTCCTCCCATTCTGTTTTTGGAAACTCTAGGAACCACAAGTAAACCTGCAGCCTGAGAGTGAAGTGCTCTGTTAGGAAAATATGGAACGATGGAACTAGGTTGTTGAGAGCTTTGTAGGTTAGAAGCAAGATTTTGAATTCTATTCTGGATTTGACAGGGAGCCAATGGAGAGAAACTAAAACTGGAGAGATATGATCTCTCCCACTAACTCTGTTAAGACTCTGGCAGCAGCATTTTGGATCAACTGAAGATAATTTTTTTTTAAGTATTAGGACACCCAGATAAACAATTGCAGTAGTCCAACCTAGACATGACAAATGCATGAATTAATTTTCTGCATCATTTTTTGACAAGATGTTTCTAATCTTAGTGATATTACACATGTGGAAGAAGGCAGTTCTTGCAACATTTAACACGTCCTGATAAAAAAATAACACCAAGATTTTTAACTTTACAAATGGAGGCCAAATTAATGTCATCGAGAGAAAATGAAAGACTGCAAAATGTATTCCTAAGATGCTCAGATCCAAAAACACAACCTCTGTCTTGTTTTTAATAATGCAATGAGAAAAACATATTGATCAGTCATGCTAGTATCATAGTTGGTTAGCCTGTTTGCCACATTATTGATCCAACTTTCACACACACACCCCCCCCCCCCCCCCCCCACCATGTGATCTTTCTCTGAAATTTACTGGAAAAAAAGACTTTTTGAATAGCTTTAAGGCAGGAAGCTGAGACGGAGAACTTAAGTTTTGAGATGCATTCACATAAGGGGTTCTGCAAAATAATATGTAAAGTTATTGTGATAACAGTAAGAATTCAAGTTTAAAACTTACCTTTGAAGCAACCTCACAGTTAAAGTAGTTAAAACTGATTTATTTTTTTTGTCATTGAACCTACACATCTCTTTAATACAGTAAATGAATGTTTTATGTAAAATCAACAAGAAATCAGTGTTCACCAAACATGCATATTTTATATAGACGCAACGTAAATGCTGAGTCAGCATTTTTAGTTTCCTCTGTGCATTATTTTGGCATCTATCTTCTGCAGGGTATTTATAACACTTTTAACCATTCAGGTTTCAAAACGTGCAGTTCAGCCGTTTGTAGCTTTTAGACTGAAAAAATATCTACAGATAACTTTTTGGTTTTAATGAAAAATATGAGGATTTCAAATCTTAGCTAATTTTAGGACTCAAGTTTTAGTTTTGCCATTTTTACATTTTAGCTACCGTTTTGCTAATTTTAGCTTATATATGCCAGGATGTTAATTCTAGCTTTCATACAAATCTGTTACATTTATCTTTGCGTAAAGATCTGTGAAATTTAATTTGTATATAATTTGGTAATTATGGCATTTAGCTATTATTATTTTAGCTTTTAGAACTACGGTGGTCAGTGCTGCGGCCTCATAATCTTGAGCCTACAGGTCCTTGAGGCACAGGTTGTGTCAAGAAGGGCATCTGTCGTAAAACATTTGCTAAATTTATACAAGTTTGTTTTCTGTGGCGACCCCTGCTGAAGGAGCAGCCAAAAAACAAAAACAGTTCATTTTAGCTTTTAGCTGCTGTTTTACAATTTTTTGCTTTTATGCATTGTTGTGCAAAGAAAGGCCTGCACAGTCCAGTGTTTACATTTGATCAAATGAATAAAACACTGTTTTATTTTGTCTTAATGAGTGCTGACAACAATTTATTTTCGAGTTTTAGTCTTTTAATGGAACAAACAGCAGTTTTTATGCCATATTTATGTAAGATGTGCTGAGTTAGCTTATTTATATTTCAAACTTCGCGTGCAAGGATCACCACACGCGCTGACAATAAAAAGGCTGAAAGTGGCTCAAGAGCTGCAAGTTAATTGTCACAGTTCTTACATTTTTTGTAACTCTGAGCACATTTTGTTCAGTGATTGAAAAGGCAGACAGGTTTATTTGTATTGTAAAGTTGCAGAGTCCTGACTCAAATGCTTTTGTGTTTATAACTCCACAGCTCATGAAGTCTGTGGCTGAGGATTGTCCAGACATCACCCGCATCTATACGATAGGGAAGAGCTACACGGGCCTCAAACTCTACGTCATGGAAATATCAGACAACCCTGGCAAACATGAATTTGGTGAGAAGAGTTAAATGTTTCCTCTTCATGTGCTCAAGCTAAGATAAAACCTCAGATGACGACATCTCTGGACCAGAGTTCACCGTGTAGCTCGTGTTACTCTGAGAGCTGCTTGGAGGCTCAGATCAACAAAGTGTGGCCTTTCTACGACCTCACGACGAAGGCTGTCCAAGAGCAGGAGCCCCTTGTAAAAACAAACATTTTGATTTCTTTTGATATTAGAACCAGATTCTTAGGTTTATGCTTTGATATGAGCTAAGGTTTCTTCACGTATGCCAAAAAAGCACAAATAAATGAAAAGTGAAGGGGATTAAGGGGATTGGATGTAACTGGGACCTTGTGTACATAATTTCGCTCCACCACATGTACCACATGAGGTGCGAATGACAATAAAGAAACTCTGACTCTGACTCTGACTCTGATTAACCGGCTTTCTGTTCAGGCAGATGTCAGAAACTTATTTCCAAAATGTCCACTCCCAAAAGGGGAGGTTGAGAAATTCCTTCTCTTTCATTTGCATCAACAGCTGTATTTGAGCAGCTTCATGGGTAAACATGACCCTGCTGTCAAATCAGGAAGATAAGTCACAGTGAAACTCTTATCAAGTGCAACCACGGGTCATGTCTGCTGTTGAGTCGGCCCAGCTCCACATCTTATTAATACAAAGTATCTGATCTAAGAAAAGGAACGCATTTTTCCTGCAAAGAAAACAAAAATCTTAACTGGAAAAATTTATGCGCTGCAAAGATGCTGTTTATTCTGAGAAATGACTTTGTTAAAATGTGTTACAAAGTCAAAACAGAGTTGTTAAAATCAAAACAAGAGAACAGAAGCTAAAAGGAGTTAAAAAAAGCCAAAAAATTAAAAATGCAAAACATTAGCTAAAAGCAAGAAGCAGCAAAAATCTAGTTAAAAGATGGACGTAGCAAAAGGCTAACTATAAATTAAGAAAAGAAAAACACCAGCCAAAAGCTAAAAGTAGCAAAACATTAGCTAAAAGCCAACAATGTTCAGTCAGATCATTTGGACAGTTTCTTTTTTATGCTGAGATGTTTCATCCTTCATCCAAAGGACTTCTTCAGTCCGGGGAGCCACAAACAAACTGGAGTCCCACAAATACCACACTCCCATAGTGGAAAAAAACAAGTTTGCTGGTGAGAAGATGGTTTCTGGGGCCCGCTCTCTCCCCCGTCAACTCCTCAGAGGCAGACATGCCAAAATAGTTCAAAACATCAAAGTTCATGCTCAATAATCCAGAAAGGACTGAAGAAGTCCTTTGGATGAAGGACAAAACGTCTCAGCTAAAAAAAAGAAACCGTCCAGATGACCTGACTGAACATTGTTGGATTGTTTCCCTGGATTACTGAGCATGAACTTTGGTGTTTTGAACTAGCTAAAAGCCAAATGTAACAAAATAAAAGCTAACAGCTAAGAGTGGAAAAACCCAAAATAAAAACTAAAATTAGGAACATGCTAGGTAAAACAGAAAAGAGGTAAAACATTAGCTAAAGTCTAAAAGTAGCTAAACAGTAGCTGGAAGCAGCAAATTGTTAGCTAAAAATAGCAAAAGTAAAATTAAAAAAAGAGAAGCTAAAAGTTTTAAATAGCAAAAGGCTAAATAAAATTTGCAAAATGTTAGATAAAAGCTAACAGTGGCAAAACAATTGCTAAACGTAGCAACATATTAGCTAAAAGTAACAAAGAGCTATCTAAAAGGTAAATGTATGAAAACACTGGCTAAAATCAAAAAGTAGCTAAATATTTTTCTAAAAGTACCTAAATCTAACACGACAAAAGGGTTAAAAGCTAAAAATAGCAAAAGGATAGATAAAAGTAGCAAAATGTTAATTAAAAGATAAAAGTTCCAAAAGGCTTGCTAAAAACTAAAATATCTGTGTGAGAAATTAAAACTAAAGCACAAAGTTTATGTGAGGGAAATCTATGGGGAAAGTATTTGTAATTTAGAAAAGGAGAAAACCAAAGGTGCAGGCATTCATCTCCTGAATGAACTGAACGTTTGATACACAGCTAAAATAGCACAGATTCTGCAGAAGTAGCACAATGAAAACCACCTGGAGAAAAGAAGAACCAGGAACTCAATAGTGTGAATGCTGACTCAGCATTCACACTATTGAGTTCCTGTTACTCACACGCTGAACTAATAAAATATTTTCTCGTTTGTTTCCTGGTGAGCAAAGTGACACTTTGAATTTTCCTTTCGGCAGGTGAGCCCGAGTTCCGCTACGTGGCAGGGATGCATGGAAACGAGGCCCTCGGTCGAGAGTTGGTCCTGAATCTCATGCAGTACATGTGCAAAGAATACAAAAAGGGCAACCAGCGTGTCGTACGACTGATTACTGAAACAAGAATTCACCTTCTGCCCTCCATGAACCCTGATGGATATGAAGTAGCTTATGAAAAGGTGGGTGATACTTCAGGAGGTTTATCAACAGTGCTCGAAGGCGAAATGCCAGCAGTGATGTTTTTGCACATCTGTGTACTAGAAGACACGAGTGTGTATAATACATTCTCCTCCAAGTTCATCCACTGTAATGGCTGGTTTGTGTTCTGTTGATCTGCTGCAGGGCTCAGAACTGGCCGGCTGGGCTGACGGACGATACAGCTTTGAAGGAATCGATCTGAATCATAACTTTCCAGACCTCAACAACATCATGTGGGATGCCCAAGAAAACGCAGCCGATAAATCCAAAGTCTCAAACCACTACATCCCCATCCCAGAATACTACACTCAGGAAGACGCCATAGTAAGGAAGAGCAGCTTTTTGCATGTTTTAATAAAAACAACTTAATTTTGGACCATCTGGTGCTTTTCTTAAGTATGACAGCGCTCATGGGTCCAGATTAGGGCAAACGAGGGTGAAGGCAGGTGTGGGTATTTCACCTTTGCACCCACATTTTGATGTTGTTGGTCGGCGGAGTTGAAGCAGGGAGTTGACCAGCGACCCTCCGATCACAGGCCCACCCTCTCTGACTTCTGCGCCACCACTCCCCCAATTGTTTTATTGTTGGTTTAATACTTTTTTCTGTATAACAATAACCATCTTTAGTTTTTTAGTTTTTATTTGACTTACAATGAGAACTGTTCCGCTCAGGTTGCACCAGAGACACGAGCCGTCATCAGCTGGATGCAGGATATTCCCTTCGTGCTCAGTGCCAACCTCCACGGTGGAGAGCTGGTTGTTACGTATCCCTTCGACTGCACCCGAGACTGGGCCCCCCAGGAAAACACCCCCACTGCAGACGACGCATTCTTCCGCTGGCTGGCCACCGTCTACGCTTCGACTCACCTGGTGCTGGCCAACCCTGACCGCCGCATCTGCCACTACGAGGACTTCCAGGCGCACAACAACATCATCAACGGAGGAGCCTGGCACACCGTCCCCGGCAGTGAGTGACCTCTGACCTCTGAGGCCTCCAAACACAACCATGCTGAACACAAGCAGTTGTTACTTAATGCCAGAAAAACATCATTCAGACACAAAAAGACACAATTACTCATAATTTACTTACAGCTGCTAAACTGCTCCCCAACCTCTTCTGATTTATTTGTTTACAGTAGAAGCAGCTAAAATTTAATAAATAATGCATCAGATATGGAAAAAAATATTACAAATGACCTCTGTTCTGTTTTTAATTCAATTCAATTGTAAAACTTTTCATTATATTATTTTATGGAAGGGAGGGGCTGTCAAAGGTTATATCACAAAAGGCTCATGAGGCTGTCTGTTAGCAAAATATTTTATGTATCACTGGACAAATATCGATGAAACTTTAATAAAGTAATTATTGGATGTACGTGAACAGCTGAAAGACTTTTGAAAGTAAACTTGATCCAAGATGGCGATCACAGCTAACCGACTTTAAAAAAAAACTAGAAAACGTATTTAATTAGATATTGACTTTGTTGTACTCTGATCAGTGACGTGCGGTGAGCTTTGTGTCAGGTGAGGCTCAGACTGTCTGGAATCAGGTGCTCACATATACAGTATGAACCAAAAATAGAAGCTTATATTTCAATATAAATCATTTTTAAATAATTGGAAAATGTTTGACACTTCATTGTGCAGAGATGTTCTTCAACTCAATGATTATTTCACATTTGTCTTATGGAGCTACTGTGTGGTCACAGTCTCACCAAACTACACTTAAACCATTGGAAAGTCTACAATTGGCCTTGAAGGTTAAATACCAAAAACCAAACAGATTCCGTCACCGTAATATTTTAACTAAGTTCAGTATTCTAGAATTTTCCAATTTTAAAAATTACAATTTTTTTATAATTGATCTTCAAATGCTTAAATGGACTTGCACCCAAAATATTAAGCAATTATACAGAGACTGCAGCAGATCTACCAGAGCGACTTTAAATGGCGACTGTAAGGTTCTTTTTCATGGAACCACTTGTACTCAAAATTCTCTCTCTATGAGAGGATCCACAATTTGGAACTCACTCCCTGTCAATTTAAAGTCTGTAACCAGATTCAATATGTTTAAAAAACAAACTAAACTCTGGCTGTGTCAAAAACTGCATTACAGTACATTCATGCTTAATATTTATTTTGTTGTTATGTTTTAATCCATTTGTTTTATGTGTATGACTCATTTAGTTTGGGAAAAATCCTTTAGTTTTGAGATATGATCTTCCATTTTGTCTAAACAAATTTAAATGAGTGTTCAGCTTGCTTCACCTCTGCTGCACCTCTGTGTAACAGAACACAGCAGCGCCTGCTTCATCGTATCTATGGGGCAGCACTGCCCCCTATCGGTACGGCATGGTATATTCTACTGCACCTCTCGTGAAAGAAGAAATGTCACACACATTCATTCAATATATTACACAGACTGTAGAACATCAAAATGTGTAGCACGTGTGTAATCAAACATGTATTTGGCGATATAAATGACACAGCGCCCCCAGAGGTGAACCAGAGCACTACACTGCCTCACCCCACATTGTTTGAACAGACAATGTGTAAAGTCCGCGATTTTGACCCAATGAAGTGTTGAAATAATTAGAAAATCTGTTTTATAGAACAATTTTATAGAAAGTCAAGTGGTCAAATGTATTTTCTCTTATCATTGTCAGTATTTTACTTGTCATGATGGCAGGAGAGGCTCTGCCTTACTTGCCTCCCCTGACTACACATCACTGACTCTGATGTGATGTACTCTGAGTGCTAAAAGATTTTATTTTAAATGTTTTAAAGTCAACAAACAAACAGACTGAGAGTTTTTATCTTCAAATCGTAGATAAACATATACATTTGATTTTGTCATGTCAGTCTTCTCTTAGAAGTCCATATCGTTTAATTTTGTATAGAATCTTAACATTTTTATACATTTTATATTTTATCTGTTTTATAGTATTTTGATAGTGCTTGTTTTCACATATTTGGATGGATTTGCTTTTTAATTAGCATCATATGTTTTCATTATGTTGCATGTTTTCACCGAGGGAGAGGAGGATGTGCTCTAATTTCATTGTGCTGGTGCACAACTGCACAATGACAAGGTCTGTCTATATTAGTTAGCAAAATATCTCATTAACCACAGGGTGGATTTAAATGACACTATCAGGAAGTAATCAACTGATATAAACCCAAGTTAAGATGGCTGCCACAGCCAACTGCACTTATAAAACACACACATGGCTTCAACTCAGTCAGTTTTACTGACACTGAGCTAAAATTTGTTGTTGGAGCACACTTCCTCTGATTGTGACGTCTTGCGAAATTACATGAAGCTACACATAAAATTATTTTCAGGGTTTGACCAAACTCTGAGAATCTGAGTTTAAGAGTCTGGAAAAGTGACATGCTTTACTTTGGTAAAGACTTCATGACTTTAAGAGTTTTTTTTTATTTTTTATACCTTAAATAATATTTTTTAAAGCAAGTTGTTTGAATAAAGACTAAAGAGGGTTTTTTCCTGCATTATTTCATACCATACATTTTAGAAATGTGAGAACTAAATTACCTGTTTATAGATTTATAATGAAACCAAATAATCCAATTTAATACATTATAAATTTTAACATGGCTCAAGTTGTAGCTCAGTGGTCAGGACTGTGGTCTTGTAATCCTGAGGCCGCAGGTCAGAGCCCAGCTTGTGTAGGATGCTCGATGGAAAATAATTGCCAAATCGTTCATGCGAGTTTGCTTGTTGTGACAATCAATGCAGAAGAGATCAGCTGAAAGAAAAACAGTAATACTAAAATCACTCTTGTCTAATTTGTCTGCAAAGTATAATTGTTCCATGATTTCCATTTTCTTTGGTTTATTAGTAAAGGATAAAAAATATCTAAAATGCAACTGTTGCAATATATTTCTTTATCTCATGTGCCTTTACAAAAGATTTCCTAGTTTCAAGCATTCTTTGCATAAACTGAGTTCAAACACTGAAATGAAACAATCTTACCTTGTGTCCTTGTGTCTTTTCTGCAGGTATGAATGACTTCAGTTACATGCACACCAACTGTTTCGAGGTGACGGTGGAGCTGTCCTGTGATAAGTTCCCTCATGTCACTGAGCTCTCCGCTGAGTGGGAGAACAACAAGGAGTCTCTCCTGGTTTACATGGAGCAGGTCGGTGTGCACCAGCACTACAACACACATTGACGCAGTCGTTCATCAGCCTGCTTGTCCTGAGCTAACCGTGCTGCCTTTCTGTCTCCCTCAGGTTCACAGAGGGATCAAAGGTGGCATCAGGGACAAACTCACTAAGCAAGGAATCGCAAACGCCATAATCAAGGTGGAGGACCACGACCATGACATCCGATCAGGTCAGGAACTCGCTGTCAGTCCTGAATCCTCTTAGAAATGATTGATTGAAGGATGTTGATTATAATTCTTTAAACAAAAATATTAATAATAAAACTTTTTTAATTTTAGCCAATTATTGTTTACTTTGGGGGAAAATGTAGAAAATTAATCAGTGGCGCAGTTTGTAGAGCTGTTGCTTCTCAGCGAGGTCGCCGGATCAAATCCCGGCTGGAGGCCTTTCTGGGTGGATTCTGCCTGTTCTCTCCGTGCTGGGTACTCCGGTTTCCTCCCACAGACCAAAAACATGCATGTTAGACTGATTGGTAACTCTAAATTGTCCCTAGGTGTGAGTGAGAGAGTGAATGGTTGTTTGTCTCATTTGTCTCTATGTGTCCCTGTGATGGACTGGAGACCTGTCCAGGGTGTCCCCTGCCTCTCACACAGTGACTGCTGGATATGGACACCAGTGACCCCCCCATGACCCGAAAAGGAAAAAGTGGGTAAAGATAATGGATGGATGGATGGATGGATGGATGGATGGATGGATGGATGGATGGATGGATGGATGGACGGAAAGTTCCCCACTAAGCAATGAAAAACAAAACTCAATATTAAAAAGCTAAATAACCCTCAGTAATATAAAACAAGTTCTAAATTATTATCTCCAACACTAACACAGCTATCATATCTTAATTGATGGGGCATGTGTTAAAATGTGCTCAAAAACTTGAAACTATGTTAAACGTATTAAACTTACTAAGCCAAAATGACTGCATCATAGCAATCGTTTTCCATTTCCAAAAGTAAAAGGTGGGTAATTTGTGTTTTTTTGTTTGTTTGTTTGTTATCAAAATACCTCATGAACCAATGGACAGAAGTGAGTGAAAGTGTCAGAAAGTAATTATCTGAGGCACAGAAACTCATTTATGTTTGAGGTCAGTGTAGGGTTTGTGTCTCTTAGTGTCTGGCTCCATCTTGTGTTGTGTCTCTATCCTGCTCTCTTGTGTCTCATCACCTCTATTTCCCACACCTGTGAAGCTCATAGGTTTTGTGTGTTAGATCTCGTTAGTGTCTGTATTTAATAAGCCTGTGTGTTTGTCTTACTCCCTGTCCTGACATTGTTAACTCTACCCTCCTAATGACCTGTCTGCTCCCTGTGTTCTGGATATTATATGCAAGTGTTGCTTCCTTGTCAGCCTTGTTGTTTTTGTAAATAAAATGTTTTATGTAATTATACTCCTGAGTCCTCGACTGCCTGCCTGCACCATTGGGTAGTGATGAGCAAATGAAGCTTTTAGGAAGCACTTAACCAGTTGGGCCAAATGTTTCAAAAATAGGTTCATTTGTTGAAGCTTCAGTTACAGTGATCTCTGTGACATTTTGCAATGGTGCTGTCAAATTAGGCATTATGCTTTTGGTGACACACAGGAGAACTTCAGTGACTATAGTGTTAAAGAACCTACTTTACTGTAGTAAAAAACAGACTTTTTAAATTCATCAACTTTCTATGTTGTCTGGTTTGAAAAATTATTTATACTTCGAATAAAGATTGATAAATTGTGCATTGAAGAGATTTAATAAAAATGTTGCAGTGATATTGTGCTTGTGTAACTGTGGCAGAGTCAGAGTCTTTGTCATTCTTAAAATAACAATGAAATGACATCTCCAGCATCTCCATGTTTGGCGTTGAAGTGTCTCATCATAGAGGAGGTATTGCCATGATGCTTCAGTTCAGTTGAACACACCAAACACTGCACCTGTAGAAATAGACTAATGTAAATAAAAAATTAATTTGAGCCCATACTGATATATGATTATTAAAATCACACATCATTTTTTTATGTAATTATATTAAATACATGGGTTAAAAGGGTTAGATAATATCTTCACTGCTGAACATTAGTACAAAGTATAACTTTTTTGACATTTAAATGCCGAAACCACCTTATCATGAGCAGAATGAAGTGTTCCCACATGTTACAATGACCTCTTTTCCTGGCTGCCTCCGTAATTACTCAGTTTCAACTAAATCAACAACACAACAGCAAAAACTCCCAGCACATTGCAAACATCTTAGAGCTGTTTTATAGTGTTGAGCGCTCTCAATTCAAAACTGTCTCAACCTGTCACCTATCAGAATCGAGACGAGGCGGTGCCAGGGAATCAGCTGATTGGACCGCGAACCAGTCAAGCAATTCATTCCGACAACGAAACAGTTTGTGTTTCAAACGTCACGTGTCACGGAACTTCTTCCACACCAAAACAGGCTCTGAAGCGTTTGTTACGTATTGTAACCCCAGATTCTATGAGTGTAAGCGTAGCCCTTTAAAAGCTGTTGCTATTGGGTTTACCCGCGCAGCGCGCCGAACACTGAAAACTTCTAGTCCTCGCCCACCTGCTGTGTGGACCCCACCTGGTCCGTTATAAAATGCATCTGGACCGTAGATCGACTCCCAAAGGCATACTCTTTTCTTCACTTGAGAGCAAGTGAGGCCCAGTGTTTAAAGGGCTACGCTTACACTAATAGAATGTGGGGTTACAATACATAACCAATGTTCTAGTTCGTGTAAGCTACGCCCTTTAAAAGCTGTCGTTATTGGGTTTAAAGGGCGGAGCAGGATATGGTCCATGCCTCACTGGATCTGTCCGAAAACCATCAAAAACACCCTGATATCCGCCTAAACCTCTTTCTTTATTCAAGCAGAATTATGTGGTGTGCAGCCTATGTGCCTGATCTTAACTGAAGGAATGTTTATTCATATCAGACAATAGAGGAATAAGAGAAGGACAATTTTTCAAAGAGGAAGAAGGAATTTTCCTGTTTGAACAAGTAATCGTAGAAAACGCCCACTAATAATTACAGAGCAAGGCTGTGTTGTTTTATTGTTTGTTGTTTTTATTTTTCATTTTATTTATTTATTTTTGTTGAGTGATTGTGAAAAATCACTCTGACATAACTCTGAGAACTGAATGTGTCAGTGAAGAGCTGGAGACATCTCGTAAATAAAAACGGATGAAAGGGGTCGGTAATGACCATGAAGCCGCAGAGCAGATGTCCTGCACAGACACCCCTCTGTGCAGAGCTGTGGAGGTAGAAATCCCTCTGGTGGAATGAGCCCTGAGTTCTTCAGGCGGTTGAAGGCCAGAAGAACTATAAGCTTGTGATATAGCTTCACATAAGCAATGTGACAGACACTGGGAAGATAAAGGCTGACCCTGTGATCATTCAAAAGTACAAACCATTGATCGGATTTACGCATCGCGGCTGTGCATGTCACATAACACCCAAGTGTGCGTACTGGACAGAGCAGGTGAAACTGTTCCTCCTCCGTAGTTTTATGGGGAGGGGGGACAGAAACCATCCAGTGTAACGACTCTGGACCTGAACAAACTTGTTATGCTTTTGGGTATAAAAGCAGGATTTGGTCAGAGTTCCGCTGAGCTCCTGTCTCCTTGAATTCTGAGACAAAAAGGAGCTAGGGACAGACCTGACAAGTCGCTCACTCTTTTAGCTGATGTCAAAGCTAATAATAAAGCTGTTTTGAGGGACAGATACTTCAAAGGTATCTCAAACTGATTTTTAGTGAGTACACTGAGAACGAAGACTAAATCCCACTGTGGTACCAGGGCGCGTGTCACTGGCCTGAGCCGGCGCACACCTTTCAGAAACCGTTTTGTTAAAGGGTGATTGAAAACTGTTCTATCGTTGAAACCTTCATGATAGGAAGAGATTGCTACAGCATAAGTTTTAATTGTACTGAAAGCTAAATTTCTGTCCAACAGCAGCAGCAGGTAGGACAAAATGCAGCCCAGGGGACATGAAGTCAGTTCCATCTCCTTTTCTAGGCACATCACTGAAAATCAGCCCATTTAGAAGCGTAAACAGCCATAGTGGATTTTGCGCGTGCCCCCTGGATAGTACATATCACGTCTTTAGAAAACCCAAATTTTTCTAAGCGTTCTCGTTCAGCGGCCAGACCCAAAGGGGATGACCTTTTATAATAGGGCTCCTGATTACTCCTCCCTCCTGCAGGAGCGCATCCTGTCTCCATGGCAATTTCCATGGATGACCCATCAGCTGTTGCAGAACCGGGAGCCACGAGGCGTTCATGCATTTTGGAGCGATCAGAATCATTTTCAGAGTCTCCTCTCTCACCCTCTCCAACAGTGCTGATATCAGGGGAACTGGAGAGAAGGCATTAATCAGTGTCTTGGGCCACGATTTGTGTGCAAACATGTTCACCCCCAGTGGCGGAGCATCCTGTGGATTTAGGGAGAAAACAGGGCGCACTGAGAGTTCTCTCGGGTGGCCATCAGGTCCACCTCTGCTCTCCTGAACCTGCTCCAGATTTGCGAAATTAGATCTGGATGGAGAGACCGATCCCTGTCCAGAGGACCTCCTCTCGACATAATATCTGTTTTTCTGTTCAGAACGCCTGGGATATAAATTGCTCTGATCGGACATAAATGTGTGCGCGCCCAGCAGAGCAGATCTCGAGCTGCATTCAGCAGCTGGGCTGAACGCACGCCCCCCTGGCGATTTATGTACGCCTCTGCGGATCTGTTGTCTGTGTGGATCATTACGTGATGATCCTGAACCAGTGGAGCAAAATGTCTGAGCACTTTTTTCTACTGTTCTAAAACATTTATGTGATAAGACGTGCCGGCCGGCCATGCACCTATTATCATTTGTGACAGGCAGGTCCCTCCCCAGCCGGAGAGGGACGTGTCTGTGAACACCAACGTGAATGACGTCACTTTGCCCAGGGGAACTCCCTCTGACAGGTTCAGGGAATTCTCCCAGTGGCTCAGATCCACTCCCACAGATGGAGGAACAGTGATCAGGCACCGTTTGTGATGTACAGGGTCGACTTTTAGTCGATTGAACCATCTTTGCAGGCGACGCATAAACAATAACCCCAGCGGCACCACAATGTGAGCCGCTGATCTCATTCCTAACAGTCTCATGACTATCAGCATTGTTACTGTTCTGAGGGGCCGGACGAGCTGAAGCAATGACATCAGGGATTCCCTCCTTTGATCTGACAGGACAGCCGTCATGTTCACTGAGTTTAAATTCATTCCCAGGAATGTAATTCGCTGGGACGGAATTATAGAGCTCTTCTCCCAATTTATTGTGAATCCCAGGTGGGACAAGTGATTCACTAAAACAACTGTTTGTGTCTCTGTCTCTTTTCTGGTCCGAGATAACAGCCTTTGGTCGTCCAGATAAAACAGGATTTTTATCCCTCTCGTTTTGAAGCGGCTGCAGAGCTGCCTCCATACATTTCGAGAATGTGCGTGGGATGAGCGCGTATCCAAACGGCAGACAGATGTACTGAAAACAGACCCCCTGGAAGGAAAAACGGAGGAATTTCCTGTGTTTATTTATTATCGGAATGTGGAAATATGCATCCTTCAGGTCTATGGATACAAACCAATCCCCTCGTGTCATATATTCGAGAACATGTTTTACCGTCAGCATGAGAGAAGGTCGTTTCATGATGAATTTGTTGAAAACAAACAGATCCAGAATTGGTCTGAGCCCTCCCGACTTTTTTGGAACCAGGAAGTATCGAAAGTAAAAACCGTCTTCCTCCTCTCCCGGGGGAACTCTGGAAATCATGTCTTTTTCCAGAAGCTTCATCAGCTCTGATTGGAGGTTTACACCTTGTTCTGGGGATGTGAGATGGGATTCTAACTCTCCATTGAATTTTGGTGGTGTTTTTGCAAACTGCAGTGTAACCTTTGTGAATTAAATGATGCAATCGTTTGTTAAGGCTGCCTGTTTGTTGTTACTCTGCTATGCACTCAGAAAGTGGAAGTGCGTGAATGTTTTGTTTCGTACGGGAGAACAATAACTGAGCCTCTATCACCATCGTATCCTGGGGGGGGGGGTTCGCCCACACTGACCCATGGTCAAGCCATGTAGAGGGCTGTTTATCAGCTCCTATGTAATGGTTCTTACAATGTTCCCCGGCCGTGCCCGGATGGGGATGAGAACCGGCGTTAGCAGGTGAACTAAACAAGCACTGCTTCAGTGTAGGTTCACCTTCAGCGCTCATTTCTGTCAGCTGGTCAGGAAAAAGAGACGGATAACCCCTGCGTAAAGCTCTCGCTTTAACTGCAGGTTCATGTTTTTTATCTGAGTGTTTGGGGACAGAAAAGTCCCTGTGTTGTTTGGGTTTTAACTTCTTGTTAAACATCTTACCATTATGTGTTTTCTGACAGCTGCCTTCAGCGCTCGCCTCCTTTGACAGGTGAGGAGGAGGGGCTGATGGGTGAGTGGAGGAGTCTCGGCGCACAGCCCCCCCATCTCCTGTTTGTGTGTCATTACACCAAAACTGTTTTCCTTTTCGTTTATCTTTGAACGGTTGCCTCAGGCTAACTTTTCATTAATTGTGTAGGATGAGCTTACAGAAAACGGAACAGATGAATTCAGCCTGTCTGAATGAAAAACTCAGTTTTTTGAGAAAGATTTTTTATTTTTCACTTTAAAAACCCTGTTCATCTCAGCAGACACACACCCCTCAAAACATCCCTGCTGCTAGCACTGGAGCCTTCTCTGTTCTCGCCAGCCACCAGGTGTCGGAGCAGGGTGGAAAAACACTCAGGGTATGGTCACATGACTCCGCACCTGTTCCAGAGAATCGGATGAGAACGCAGTTGGTTCAAGACCGACTGAAAATGAGGTCCGAAGAGGCCATCTGAGGACACAGGACCTTCCAGGAGTTCTTTTTTAACGTCTTCTGGGATGGACGGAGACAGTTTCAACCACATCTGTCTCTGCAGCAACGTTGCCCAGGACAAGATGCGGGCGGAGCAAACTGCAAGCGCCGCACACTGGTTGGTAATCATGTTCGCAGCCGTGTTGATCTGGTCCAAATCTACGGAGGACGGGTTTGGTTCCTTCGTCTCTTTAGCTATGCTAAGGGCTAACATAGCAATGTTGTTGGTTGCTGGTCCCACCTGCGACAAACACTGATGGATTCTGTCCGTCAGCTTCGCGGTGAGCTGGTCACTGGAGGATGGCGGGGTGATACGTCGGCCGACGTATTTCACTGCTCTCACCCCAAAAACAGCCAACAAACTGGGTTCTAGGGGAGGGACAGTGGGAAAACCCTGGTCAGTGAACCCTTTGACTTAGGTGATGGCTGCGTAGGAGGCAACCGGAGCACTCAGCTTTAAGGAATCGTTGGCTGAATCCAGGAGGAGGGCAGACACAGCCGGGAAACAGGGCCAGACCGGGTCCCAGTGTCCAATGTGCTGGGCGGCGAACCTTCCAGCCAGAAGGGTCGACATGGCCGGGGCCGCAGGTTTGGGCACTTCCAGGTCTCAGGCTCTCGCCGACCTCCCAATTATCTCCGAGAGCTCGTGGAGCAGAGTGTTGGACGACCCCTGGGGGCTCGGGGGGGGAAGGGGGGGGCAACCATTGAAGGCAACACCTGCTCCAAACCTCCTGTAAGGCAGGATGAAGCGCAGCTGCAAGCTGTTTCAGCTTCAGAGGGGGACGTATTCACGAACTCTGTGTCCAGGGAGTTAAAAAAATTCCTCAAGCGAACAGTCCCCCCTTGGTTGAAACTCAACCTCCTCAGAGGAAAAGAGCTCACACCAGCGCTGCTTCTCCTCAGCCCAAAAAAGTTTATAGGCTGGACAAGAGAAAAGCGGATCCAAAGCTTGCCGAGCGTGGTCAGCTCCCAGGCAGCTTTCACACACGACGTGCTGGTCTGTCGATAAGATGTAGCCCGTCTGGCACGCAGGGCACAGACGGAGGGTCTTCGATTTCTTAATTAAAGCCATCATTCTTCTTCTTTTCTTTCTATTATTGTTTCGTAGAAGTAGTGTTCTTAGCGTTGGCTGAAGAAAAACGGGAGTCGAGCTCCGGTCCAGATGCAATTCATAACGGACCGGGTGGGGCCCACACAGCAGGTGGGCGCGGACTAGAAGTTTTCAGTGTTCGGCGCGCTGCGCGCAAACCCAATAGCAACAGCTTTTAAAGGGCATAGTTTACATGAAATAGAACAGTGGTCTGATGTAATTTTACTTCAGGGTTTGAAGCATGTTTTGAAGCTTTTGTTTCATACTACCATCACTACCATTGGGTTCAACCTCCAAACCACTACCTTGTGACAGTCAATCCCACTGTTTTGTAGATATTGAGCTAAAATTTGTTGTGGTAGTATCTGAGTCTTTCTCAAAACATAGTGTCAACAGATTGAGCAAGATCTTTGTTTAAAACATTGCCATTAAATAATGGAACCTATTCTGTTTGTCTGTTGGCAAAATATCTAATGAACCAATAGGCAGATTTCTATGAACTTCTCAAAATGTAATCTTTGAATGTACATCTATGACTCATTACCTTTTGGAGCCAACATGATTCATACAATACCAATTTATTTCTAAAGCACTTCAAACACAACATAGCAGCCATCCAAAGTGCTGTACAAAAAAGTAAAAACCAACAAAAAACAGTGAAACAATAAAAACAACCAAATATATAAAAATAATCAGAACATCACAATTAAAAGAATACAACATTAAGACAAAGATGCTAACTCACTCTAGATTAAAAGCCAATGGAAAAAAAGTGTTTTTAAACGAGTTTTAAAAACAGAGATTGATGGGGCCTGCCTGACCTCCAGCGGCAACTCATTCTACAATTTAGGAGCCAGAGCTGAAAATGCTCTGTCTCCTCTGAATTTATAAAACGTTTTCGGGACTGCTAAAAGCATCTGGTCAGATTATCTAAGAGCATGTGATGTTATGTGAAGCAGTTCAGACAAATAAGAGGGACTAAGACGGTTCAAAGACTTAAAAACAAACAATAGAACTTTAAAATGAATTTGAAACTGGACAGGAACCCAGTGAAGGGACATCCGAACTGGAGTGATGTGCTCACGCCTGCCTGTACCAGTCAAATATCGTGCAGCAGCATTTTGTACCAGCTGTAACTGTGAGAGCGAGGCCTGGCTAACTCTGATCAACAGAGAGTTACAATAATCCAGGCGTGAAGTAATAAAAACATGGATTACTGTCTGTAAGTAACTACGGCTCTACTCTACTCTAACCGAGTAGAGTAGAGCCGTGCTGTACCGGTACTACAGGTACTAATGGAAAAGGGGCATAAGTGGTGCCTAGAAAGGAGGGGCTTGTTTTTTGACAGGCGCCACCACACCCAGGTGATCTCAGATAACACAAATAATTAACATAATTTATTAAAATGAACAGATACTTAGATATAATTAGGTGTGGTGGTAGCTGAGAGTCATTCAAAATGCGTATGTGCTAATCATTGCACAGTAAGTTTGTGAAGAAATAAGAGAGTGGGTCGCACCCTGTTTACACCACTCGTCTAATTATTGGATCAGATACCAATTTTTAGCAACCCTGTACTCCAAAGAACAGGACATTTGGTCCAGTGCCAGACAGGTACATTAGTCCGAGACCATGGCAAATTATTATAAATATATAAATAATAAAACTTTTTATTTTAACAAGAGTCAACCCTGTCCGTTTTTTAGCAAAATATCTCACGAACCACTGGGTGGAGTTTCATGAAGCACTTGCCAATGAATCATTTGATGTTATCTACAATTCATGAGATGATGTGAGTTTGAAATGATGGTATGAAAGACGATGAGTGATGAGCATTCCTTCAAGGACTGCCCAGCCTTTCTCTAATAAATGTTTTTACTTTGCTTTAGCTGCTGATGGGGACTACTGGCGTCTGCTGAACCCTGGCGAATACAAGGTGGTAGTTTGGGCAGAAGGTTACTTTCCATCCATGCGTCGCTGTCATGTCGGCATGGAGCCACATCCTACAATCTGTGACTTTACCCTCACCAAAACGCCGCTTCAGAGATTGAAGGAGATTCGAGCCAGAGGAGGGAAGATCCCACGGGACCTTCAGCTGCGGCTGCGTGCTCTCAGACTCCGTAAGCTACGCGCCAGCACCAAAGCCATTAACCGCCGCAGGGAGAGACAGCGACAACAGACGAGGAGATCTGTCCCCTCCTGAGAGGAGCTGGGAGCGCCTGGAAATGACATGGAGTTCAGTTTGAAGATGTCAAACGTTGCTCTGGGAAAAAAAATGACATATTTTAAAAACATCAGCTGAGCCAAAATAACAGAAGAAAATACAGATTCTATGTAAAACTTTACGTTTTAAGAGATTTTTCCAGACGCCAACAAAACTTTTGTATTGAACCTTTAAAGGCACTACTTCAATGACTAATCCATTTTATGTATTTCTTATTTTGTACATTGATCAGCTGGTCTGATAGGTCACACTTTTTATTTTTACTGACTAAAGTCCAACATGACCACAAATAAATGTGTTATCTAATGTCACAAAGGGTCTTGTTTAACCAAATAATAAAGTACATAATACTGCAGGGTAACATGGTCTGAACTAGAGCCCGACCAGTATATCTGTAAGGCCCATATTTTTGGGGTGATATATGCATTTAGATACAAACAGTATCGATATCTGTGATAACTGTCCCATTATCCGCCAATATAAACACAGGAAAAAGCCGAGTCCGTACGTGCAAAAGGCCTACTTGTACACTGTATCCAGCAGAATGCGGACTACTTTCAAGTCATGGCCGTTCACTTTAACTTTCACTTTCAGCACAGCTGAAGCAGGGAACAATACTGTGGTGTATTTTGCTGAACAAAGCATGGTAAGTTTATGTTAAATAATCTGTAAAAATAAAACAAGGTAACTTTAATGTCATTTTGCATCACATGTGGTACATGAGGTGGAATGAAATTGTGTACTCAAGGTCCCAGTTACACCCAAAAATAGCAATATAAAATATTAAAAGGAAATAGTATACAAGGATCTAAGATATACATTAAACAATAATAATATAATACGGTGTATTAAACAGAAGTAAAATGTTCATGTATTAATTATTTTTTGTAAATGGTTCCCTCATTTCAAAAGTATTGTCATCTGAATATCATCCAATTGTTATTTCTGATCATGCACCACTTAGTAAATGGTAAATGGACTGTATTTATACAGCACCTTTCTATCTTATTTCAAGATACTCAAAGCTCTTTACACTACAATCTGTGCCTCATTTACCCATTCACACAGCACTCTGCTAGATCTCTACAATGCTAATGGAACAAATCATTCTAAAGAGACTAATCAGAGCTTTATCACATTCATACACTGATGGGACACACATCAGAGGCAACAAGGGATTCAGTGTCTTGCCCAGGGACACTTTGGCATGTGACTGCTGGTGGATTCGAACCTCCAACTCTAGCATTGGAGGACAACTGCTCTAACCACTCAACCACAGATGCCCCAAGTGTTGAATGTTTAGTGTTGATATCAAACTCCTAACTAAGCCTTCTTTTTCTCCATTGTGGATGTTCAACTCCTTGCTGCTCAGATGATGCATTTATTGCTTATATCAAATCCACAATCGATGAATATATAGCTTTTAATGAAAATGACATTGTTACAAGTTCGTTACTATGGGAATCTCTTAAAGCATTCTACTTTGTATTTAGGGTGCGGATGTGGCTGGGTAGTTAGAGCAGTCGTCCTCCAATGCAAGAGTTGGGGGTTTTAAATCCACCAGCAGCCACATGCCGAAGTGTCCCTGGGCAAAGACACTGAACCCCTCATTGCCTCTGATGTGTGTCCCATCAATGCATGAATGTGATCTAAAGCACTGATTATTTTCTTTAGAATGATTTGTTCAATTAACTTTGTAGAGATCTAGTAGAGTGCTGTATGAATGGGTAAATGAGGCACAGATTGTTGTAAAGAGCTCTGAGTATCTCCATAAGATACCATACCATACCATACCATACCACTTTATTTATAAAGCACTTAAAACAGCAACAAGGCCAACCAAAGTGATGTACAGACAAAACAACAGGTAACACACAAAGCAAAATACAAAATGAGGTAAATCAGAATATAGACAAAAAAAAAAAACCGATGCAGATAATGACGACAAACCCGTGTGGAGCATACAGGATCAAAACACAGATCATCTTGTGTTGAAAGCTACTGAATAGTAGTGAGTTTTTAAACGGGACTTGAAAACCGAGAGGGAGGGGGCTTGTCTGACAAGCAGAGGTAACTCGTTCCAGAGTCTTGGTCCTGCTACAGAGAAGGCCCTGTCACCTCTGCACTTAAGACAAGTTCCTGGAACTGTGAGGAGCAACTGGTCCGCTGACCTCAGGGAGCGTGGAGGGCCATACGGTTGTAGCAAATCAGAGAGATGGGGGGGCGACACTGTTCAGTGATTTGTAGACATACAGGAGTATTTTGAACTGGATTCGAAAGTGAACCGGTAACCAGTGCAGTGAGGCCAAAACTGGTGTAATGTGCTCTCTTTTGCCTGTACTGGTTAAAAATCGGGCTGCTGCATTCTGGACCAGTTGTAGTCGTGCAATGGAGGTCTGACTGATGCCAAACAGGAGCGAATTGCAGTAATCAAGCCTAGATGTAATGAATGCATGTATTACAGTCTCCAGGTTCTTTTTGGACAATATGGGCTTCAGTTTAGACAGCCGCCTCAGTTGGAAGAAGCATGATTTCACAATCATGTTTACATGATTGTTAAGTTTCAGGGAAGGGTCCATTATCACGCCCAGATTAGTGACTCTTTGTTTTTCTGACAGGGTTAGAGCGGAAAGGTCGATGCAGTGGTTTGTGATTGTGTCGTTGGGAGGGAACAACATGACTTCAGACTTCTTTTCATTGAAACTTAAGAAATTTAAAGCCATCCAGTCCCTGATGTCAGCCAGGCAGTTGAGCAGCGGTTGAATAGAGCATGTACCATTGTGTCTTAGGGGGAAGTAAATTTGACAGTCATCGAAATAGAAGTGGAAGGGCATGTTGTGTTTTCGGAAAATAGCACCAAGCGGCAGCAGGTATAAAGAGAATAGGAGGGGACCCAGTATGGACCCCTGCGGAACCCCCCATTTAAGCTCTGCCTCTGCGGAACTGAAATCCTTGATGGAGACACAAAAGGATCTGTCATTGAGGTAAGATCTGAACCAATTGAGGGCTGATCCTGTGACGCCCACCCACTGCTCCAACCTAGCAATGAGGATCTCATGGTCGATGGTGTCAAAGGCGGCTGTGAGGTCCAACAGGACAAGCAGCACAGAATCACCGGTATCTGTGAATCTGAAGATGTCGTTAAAGACCTTCAGCAGGGCAGTTTCAGTGCTGTGGAGAGGTTTAAAGCCAGATTGGAAAAGCTCTAAGATGGCGTGATCCTCCAGGAAGCACTTCAACTGGGACTCAACTATTTTCTCCAGTAGTTTAGAAACAAATGGGAGTCTGGAGACAGGCTGGAAGTTGGACACGACTGAGGGGTCAAGGTTTGTTTTTTTCATGAGAGGCTGGACAGCAGCATGTTTAAAGGATTTTGGCACCACGCCAGTGGATAAACTACTGTTTACTATATCAAGAATGGACGAACCTAGAGTAGGAAAAACCTCCTTTAGTAGTCGAGGGGGGACCACATCAAAGGGGGAGCCAGAAGGTTTCAAGCTGCACATGACCTGCTCTAGAGAAGATAGAGTGATGTGTTCAAAATGGTCAAAAGGAGCTACAGATTGAGGTGGGATGGATGGGTCATGAGTTGGAGGGGAAATGAGAGCCCTGGTGGTCGCAATTTTTTCCAAAAAGAAATGTAAGAAGTTGTCGCACAGCTCAGTCGAGGCTTCCAGAGGTGATGGTTCAGTGAGGTGGAGAACAGAGTTTAGGGTGGAGAAGAGGACACGTGGGTTGTGAGAGTTTGAGGTAATTATATCAGAGGAGAATTTTGATTTAGCAGCTTTTACTGTTTTCTGATAACAGCGCCAAGTCTCTTTAAGTATCTGGAAAGAGACCTGCAGCCTGTCTTTCCTCCACTTTCGCTCCACCCTCCTACATTGCTGCCTAACAGCCTTGGTGACATCACTCAGCCAAGGTTCTGCTCTGAGTTTTGATTTTTTGGTTTTAACAGGCGCAACATGATCCAGAGTCTTTAAGCAAACAGAGTTGAACTGGGATGTCTGCTCCTCAGTGGTGGTGAGAAACACTGGGGGCTGAAAGATCATTTCAGAGTTATAAACATCTGTGAAACGTGCGGCAGTGAAATAGTTAATGGTCCGAGTGTGACGAATGCACGACTTAGGAGTTAGATGGGGGAGGGTGAACTCAAACCGGACTGGCATGTGGTCTGAAAAAACATTATCACCAATAACAAGATTATTAACAGTCATATCATGAGTTAAAACAAGGTCCAGTGTATGTCTGTGCTCTTGGGTGGAACCGTTTACATGCTGAGTTAAATTAAATGAGTCCAATAAATCTAAAAAGTCCTTAACCAAGGGCTTCTCAGGACAACACACGTACAAATTAAAGTCACCAATAATGAAAAGATGTTCATATTTTGGTGTGATTTCAGCCAAGAAGTCAGAAAACTCATTTATGAAATCCTTAGACCGAGGTGGGCGGTAAATGAGTGCACATAATGTCGGAGGTGGATGTCCGAGTTCAAAGACGCTCAGCTCAAAGCTGGCGCGGGAAACTGGGATGGGCAGTTGTTTACAGTCAAAAGTTGATTTGAATATTGTTAATAATCCACCACCGCGCCGGCCTGATGGCCGCAGGGCGTTAAAACACAGACTGTTTGGTGGCAGTAATTCTGTCAAGGCGCTGGACTCACTCTGAGACATCCAAGTCTCTGTGATGCACAGAAAGTCCAAATCATGCTCTTGAAAGTAGTTCCTGAGGATAAAAGTTTTGTTGGTAACAGATCTTGCGTTGACCAAACACATCCGGATATTGTCCAAAGTAGAGCCAGCAGCGGTGGAGTTAGCGCGCGCTAATGGCCGCAGGTTTTCAATAACAGCCCCTCCAGGTCGGTCCGGGCTGCGCAACGGCTGACAACTCCCACTGGTTACCTGGTCCGGGCACGCGGGAAGCTGGAGACCATGACCGCCAGCTGGAGAGGAAGATGCAGCGCGCAGAGCTTTCAGCTTCACCAGCTGACCAGCACGTTTTCCCCGGCGTCTGAAGCGAGATCTCCGGGCAGGCAGGTGAGGAGCGCAGCGAAGGTAAGCTGGCACGTCTGCCAGCAGGGGGGGGGGGAGGAGGGGATGGTCCAGAGGTACGCTGATAATGGTCAAAATAAGCAACTTCAGTGACAGAAAAACGAAGATCCAAAAGT